CAAACCAGAATACATCACATATAACATCACCCAGACTGTTACCAGAATACATCACATATAACATCACCCAGACTGTTACCAGAATACATCACATATAACATCACCAAGACTGTTACCAGAGTTCGGATGCTAGGACAATCTTTTTATTATAGATATAACTTTTACTGTTCATTTTATTTTTTAATGCATTTTTATGATTATCATGACATTTGAGCCAAAGCTCTTTTACCTTGCGTAGCCGATGTTGATATGAATAGTTGGTATTGTTGCTATACCATGGACTGCAAATAATATACTTAACAAACAGACAAAACAACAGTTTCACAAGAATGAACAACTCACCCATCAAGACATACATCACCAGAACAATAAATTCCTTACAATGTCACCAACGTTCTCATTAAAATAAATAACATACCAAAGCCAGTGGAAAAAAAAATTACAAAAAAACGAACCAAAAAACAATCATTAGTAAAAGCTAACTTCTAAACAATCTGAAATCATGGTATGCAAACAACAAGTTATCCCTGAAGAATCGTATCCACAGCAAGAAAACGATAACGCACCTTTTATCTTTGCCTCTTTTCTTCTTTCTTGATTTTCGACTGTCTGACTCTGAATCTGAAGACCTACAAATAATTGGAAAATATGACAAGAAACATAATAAGAATAAAAGCAAGGCGAGTCTTTTGTTCTTTTAGTTTTCATTGCTCCTTAAAAAAACAGCCTTCAGCAACCTATATGAATAGATCAAGAATCAAATTACAACTCAATGTCTACCTCACCTCAACATCTGGTGGTTCTAGCACTCCTTACCTTCAGTATTTTACCTTAATTCAAAAATATTTCCTTTTCATAAGTTCTTCCCAGTCTCATCACTGAACCCTCTCTATGCCAGCCTGCCCCTACCCCATGCCTCCATCCCCCCTTTATTTGAAAACCAAAGTATGATTACAAAACAACAAGTTAAATGCATCAATTCCATGCAAGAAAGTCTGTAGTCAGTCTTCACTGCAGATGAACTGCTGTTGCACAGAACCCAGTCTGCAGTGAGGTTACCTTTCTTCTGGTGTCCGTTCTTTGCGCTTTTTCTTTTTATTGTGTTTGACTGGTGAGGAATCCCTCTCTGAGTTGTGATCAGAACTACAAGACATAAAACAATGCCAGTGTTAGAAGTAACCTCTATCATCAATTAACTCATCATTGGGCAAACATCCTGCAAGCAATCAGAATTAAAAGTGTTAGATGACAAAATTCCTTGGGACAACTACCCAATAAACCACAGACTCCATAAACAACTTAAATATGATAAGGCTAGATTGCACATAACAGATTCCTCAGCCCAATAGCACTTCATATACGAGTCCAACTCAACAAATACTCTAAAGTCAGATTAGTTTCTAAGACAATTATAAAGAGGAACCCTAAAAAATTTCCCTCCCTCCCAACACGTGGCTTGGTAGCTCAGTTGGTAGTAGTGCCCAACTAGTATCTAGGGGGACAGATTTGAATCCCATCAAAGCCTGAATTTTTCTCAAGCTTCTTTTCTGCAGTTGCTAAAATTGCAGTCCACCAGCAAGGATCATTTCTTCGCCTGACATGTAATCATACTTGCTTTCTCTCTTTCATTTTCCCCAGGTTTCCTATCACATTGTTTTGTTTAGAAGAGTGCATTAATATTTCTCCGCATACAGTCATATATGTTTCCCTAATGTCAGCTCATTCTGACTGAAGAGCTTGAGAGTCGTGTTTTCTGTCTGTATCCAAGCAAACACCAAAGAATTGATTTGCTTTGTATAAAATGTGTGATTCCCACTTTGCTCAAACAGTTTATAAATGCAGTGAGAAAGGATCAAAATTCACAACATCAGATACAGTACATAAAAAATACTACCAATAAGTTATGTGTACAACATGCAGTAGTATAACCTGTCAACAAAGGGAAAATATGAGGTTTCTCCACTATCTTTCGCAATTCTATATGTTTAATATTTTTAAATGCAACTAATTCAAGGGTTTAACTGTTTATGACTGCCTTAGTGAGCTATAACTTCAGTTTTAGAATAAAAGAGGTTCTGTCTATCCACTGCTCTTTCAAATTTTGTTGGGCCAAAGATTTGACTGTCAGATCTGACACATCTATCAGAGCCCTATTAAAAAAAAACCCTAAGCTATCCTTGAGAAAAAGAAACTTCAGCTGATTACTTTACCTAAACAGAAGATATGAATGGCCCATTTTTCCTGGGACAGTAATAGCTGAAAGCCTCTCTTTACTTGAAAACAATATTAACCCTTTAACTCCCAGATGTGATTGACATGTAACTTCTCCATTAAGATCTATACATTATCCAGCATACAGTTAATCAGAATACTCAAACTTATCAGGTAGAAGTTGTTACTTGGATCCAAAATCAACCTCTCATGACTAATTTACAAAGTAATGTGTAGCAGCTAGAAGGGAGAAGTAACAATCAGATCTCAGGAGTTAAAGGTTCAGCGATACAGTTTGTGTTTTACACCATATACCTGTCTGAGTTACTCCTCTCCTCTGAAGACTCAGACACAGAAGCATGCTTCCTCTTTTTCTTCTTGGGTGGCGATTCTTCCTTTGCTCTACAAAGAAACAATAATTAGCACGACTAATACAACAGGGATGAAACAGAATTGGTCCTTGGTTATCCAAAAGCTAATCAAGACAAACTCAGGATTAAAAAGCAAAATCAAAATTTCTTCAGAGTTGGATAAGCTTCAGATTTGCATCTTAAATACAGCGAATTTGGATATTGTACAGGCAGACATTTTGGAATTGTTTAACTGGCCTTTTTATCCATTCATTTATAACGGTGAGGCAAACAATAATTTGCTTCTTTTATATTTGAAGGATTATTAGAAGCAACTAAAACAGACAAACATCCTTGTATTTCACACTTTTACATTAAACTTATTAAATGTATCTACAATGATTCTTAAATCTATCAATAATTAATAATAATAGAAAATAGTACATATAATAGTAATAACTATGATTAAGTCTTACAGGTTTTAGCAGCAATAACATAAGAAAATCTTAAGACCACTGGCCTTACCTGCCTGAGCCAAAATGAAACTTGAGAACAAATGAGCAAATACATGTAGTCTAGCTACAGTGTTGGGAAATAGAAAATCAAGAACATCATTTAGACTTTGAGTTTTCAG